ACCACCACAGCCCCAGCCACTACAACAACGACGGCTGCCACCACCACCACAGCCCCAACAACTACAACAACGATGTCTGCCACAACCACCAAAGCGCCAGACACTACAACAATGACAGCTGCCACCACCACCACAGGTCCAGCAACTACAACAACGATGGCAGCCACAACAACAAGGACGGCTGCCACCACCACCACAGCAGCCACCACCACCACAGCAGCCACCACCACCATGTCCCCAGCCACTACAACAACAACGGCAGCAACTACCACCACAACCCCAGCCACTACAACAACTACAGGTGCCACCACCACAAAAACAACGGCTTCAACCACCACCACAGCCCCAGCCACAACTACGGCTTCCACCACCCCCATATTTGTTGTTTTCAGATCCATTCAAAGCAATTTTACAACAGACTTGTTGAATTCATCATCTGAAGCTTTTAAAACGCGTGCTGGATTTATAAAGGCACAGGTAAGTGTTTTACTCTGTGGAAAGCAGCATGAATGATGTGTCTAAAGAACAGCTATTAAAGTACTGAATGCTCAATACAGGATTTCACTGAATTACAGCAGGAACAAGTCAACTATAGAATCTTTGCTTGCACTTTGATGCATGCTCAATCATCCAGGTAAGTAAATCTCCAAAAGTTGATTCTGTTCATCTGGATGTAGTGTTTTGTGGGAGAAACGTTTCGTCACTCATCCAAAACGCTACGTCCAGATGAACAGAATCAACTTTTGGAGATTTACTTGCACTGTTAAAAACTCTGTCCCAAGATTTACACATGTGCTTTTGAGCTATTGATACGCAGTCTTTTGTACTTGTGGCAAAGCACTTTAAGTCAGTATTATTGCTGGATGTTTATTCTTCTCTCAAAGGAGACAAGCTCTTAAGATGTTGGTTCTCACTTCATATTTGAACAAACCTTTTCATTTTAACAAATACAGATAAAGATTCTCTTTCTTTCGCTTGTCTACTGTCTTTCTCATCTCCAACTCATACATTGAACCTGACTTTACAGGACATATTCAAGACAAAAAGCACTACATTTCTCTCACTAGAAGATGGATAATATACTTATGATAAAATTGTATAAAGTAATTAAACTGCATCAATTTAAGATTTGTGAAAGTTTTCCCAGTTTTACCCAGTTTTTTTAGTTAGTGAGTTATCCCTGTTGCCTTAGAGCAGGATGGTTTTGAGCTTGAATTTTAAGAAAATTCTCCTTTGTGTCTGCAGATTGAACCTCCTTACAGATTGGCGTTCCCTTCTTCTTTTGTCTCCTTGAATGTTGTGAGCTTCAGGTAATTTCAGTATTTTGACATATAATGTTTAGAGCACTCACCTAAAGCCCTAAATATTCCAATCTATAATTTTTGTCTCTGCATTTACAGGCAGGGATCAGTCATCAACACGATAGAACTTCGGTTTGTAAACACATCTGTTCCGAACAACACTGAGATTAGAAATGTTTTGAACAGTACAGCCTCAAACATTACAGGCTTTGACATTGAAAGGGACTCCATCGCTGTCAATGACACAGGTGAGTAATCGTAGTCGTTATGTTTGATCAAAAAGTCTCAAATGTTTTAGAGTGACTTGGTTAAAAATGTTTTGTACATTTTTTCTACCACAGCTGCTGCATCAACTACTACAATTGTTGTTCCAACAACTACACCTAGTACAACAACTACTACATCAACTACTAAAACTATTGTAACAACATCTACAACTGCTGCAACAACTACTACATCTACTGCAACTACAGCTTCAAGTGGAGTATGCCACAAGATTAATTCCAGCACTGTTTTCCCCCTGGTGCTGCTGTTATGGCTTCTATCAAGCCAGCAATAGCATCTGTGCTGGTTTTCATTTGAAAGACAAGCAGCAGATGATCTCTTTCACTGCAGCTCTTTATTTATTGGACACATTGGAAAGAGTAGAATTGCTATGTTTGCCAATATGAAAATATTTCTTGGTGGGAATGGCCCTGTAGTGAACAGAATGACACAGACTTCTTTTATGCATGTGGTTAATTGAATCATAAATAGAAAAATTTAACTAACAACACAAAGGCAAAAGATAAAACAAAATGGGTGCTTTATCTTAGAGGCTTAGTAGTTTATGCTGCTTAGTTTAATTAAATTCAAGTTTATTTATATGGCACCAAACCACACTAACAGTCACCTCGAGGTGCTTTAAATTGTTAAGTTAAGGTAAAGACCCTACAAAGACCCTCTTGCTTTTAAGTGTGTCTCTGCCTACATGTCTGTTAACTGTTCCTCTTTTATATAGAAAAAGACTAAACATTAAAAATATATAGAAACAACTTCTTGACTTTGTAACAAAATTATCCGCAACAGCTCTTCTTATACTTTTTAAATGCTTGTAAATTAAAGGTTTCAGGTTTCCCTTCATATAGAGCATACAAAATATATATCACAAAAATAATATATATATATATATATATATATATATACATATATCACCCCAAATAAAAAGCACTGTCACTTTTCTTATTTATATAAATTGTATGTTTATAAAAATATATATATTTATATTTTTATTCTGTGAAATGTATTTGAATTTTTACATTTTCTGTAGGAAAGTCACAATAACCAGAATATAGAATGTATAAGAAATTTACACTGTCCCCTGTGATGTTTTGCTGTTTGAGTAGATAAAGATAAGGTTGAAATAACCTAGAGGTATACAATTTAGATCGCTCACCCAGGACCATGGCAAATTGGTCCTGGGTGAGGGACCAGACAAAGAGCGATTCAGAAGACCCTTATGAAGAGAACATCGAGGGAACAGTTTACCCTGCCCGGGATAGGGTTACCGGGGCCCCGCCCTGGAGCCAGGCCCGGGGAGGGTGCCCGAGGACGAGCGTCTGGTGGCCAGGCCTTAGTCCATGGGGACAGCCCGAAGAGGAGACATGGGCCCATCCTCTCGCAGGCCCACCACCCGCAGGAGGCACCATAGGGGTCGGGTGCATTGTGTGCCGGGTGGCGGCCAGGAGCGGAAGCCCTGGCGGACTGATCCCCGGCTGCCAAGACTGGCAATAGGGACAAGACTTTCAGACTGCCTCAAAGAGATTCTGGCAAACTGGTGATTGAATCTAATGTGAAGACTCAACTTGTTCTTTTGTTCTTTTTTCAGTTTATAATAAATAAATTGGTTATCCATTATACAGCACTGGTGATAGTTTTGCATCTTTTTCTGTCTGGCGGACACATTGTTGTGTTTGCCGACAGGTAATAACAGCAATTATTTCATTAGCAATAGTTGCTGGGGGTTTTTTTTTCTTTTTTTTCCAAGGTTATTTGTTTTTTATGTGTTGTCCATGGTGTATTTTGGTTAGGGACTCTGCCTGCTCACCTGCTTCACTTATATTGAAGAAAGTATGGTGAACACAGCTTCTGAAGCTTCTGTTATGATCAATTAATATTTTTGACAAATGATGAGAAAATAGCACCCAGAATGGAAGCAAAAGGAGAATTTTAGGTGTACATGTAATAGATCTCCAGGGGTCCTGTGAGTGGAAAGTTTGATCCTACTAAAATCAGTCACTGCTGTATCAGTAACAGACATTGAGAAGACGAATTTCCATTAATTAAGCTTCCCTGTATATCTGTAGATTCCTCTGTGTATGTGAAGTCAACTGTACTACTGCCAACAGCATATAGCCACCTGCTTGTATTGATGAGATGCATGCACCTTTTGTCTCATATGATTTTGTATCTTTGGATGGAAAGGAAAATATACATGCTAAAATTCAGCCTTGCTACAGTGCTGAAGAGAAATCTAGGATTGTTCTTATTTTCTTCAGTCTGTGATGAATAGTGAGATGTTTTAGTTTCACGGATGGCTTTTTTTTGAATAAAGCAGCCAACTTTTCCAAGCCAAGTGAGGATTGTCTAAATTAGTGAGATGCCATTTCCTGTCCAGCTTACCAGTGTTCTGCTTCAAGGGGCGCATTTCAGAGTTATACCAGGAAGTTCTTCTGATTCGATCCTTTCTAAAAAAGCAAAGTCCGTGTCCTATGTCATTGTATTCTATTTTGCTTCCTCCCTGTCTCGTCATGTCTATTAGGTTCAGCCATGTCTTCCTCCTGTTGTGCATTCACCTCGTTACTTTGTGTGTATATTTGGTTTGTGTTTACCTCTGTTCTTCATCAGAGCATCTGTGTATCATCACTGGTGTTTCATCATTCTATTCTTCTTACCCAGGGTCTCACCAGCTATGTTTCCAGTTTCTTGTTTAGCTGTCCCCAGTTTAAGTTTTAACTAGTTGTTTTGTAGTTTTTCATTTCAGCCACAAATAAAGGCTTGCGTTCAGTTAAACATCCACCTTCATCTCCTTTGAGTCCACTTCTCTCATCTTCATGTGGTTGCCTTGCTAGCTGTGAGAAGGAAGTCATGAACTCAGATGACAAAACATGTTCAGGATGGATAATGATGTTTTTTGCCTTCTTTATCACCTGATTTTCTGTCATTCATTATCTGTCTGCCTGACCCCTGTGATTTTGGACCAGGTGTTAACAATAATGCTGAGGGAGTTTGTATCCTTACTACCTTACCAGACAAAACACTGCAAATAAAAGAAAATGTTAAAAGACTTTCAACAAATGAGCAATAAATATTTTCTTATTACAAGAGTTCAGCCTCCTATACAAATAGTCTTTATTGACTCCATTTTACGTCAAAATCTGTCTTCACATCGAAAGTGCAGTCTTATAAATCTGGACATCAGTGTTTTGAGTAACTCTGGCTTTATACTCAGTTTCAGTGTCTGAAGTCAATAATCACTTTCTTTAATCATTTAAGTCCAGATAGTTATCATCATACCATTTCACAAATTCAGGTAAAAGAGGACCATGGACAAACTCAGAACCTTGAAGCAAGGACAAGAGTACAGTGCCATCAGAAAACGTAATTATAAATCTGTTCTCATAAGATGTCCTCTAGCTTTTGGTGTGCATAATAAAAAGAAGGGGTGACAGAACACAGTCCTGAGGAGAACCAAAGCTTTACACAGTCCTACTGGATTATTTATTCATTAAGAAGGACATCTTAAATTCTTTTAGTGAGAAAGTTTGAAATCAGCATGTTGTCTAGGGAGATCCATAACAACAATTTTCAGTTGGACTGGGCATTGTTGGGGAGGTTATTTTCTGATAAACTGCTATTATGTTGTATGTCCAAGATGAATGGTAAGTATAGGTTATTCATTATACAGCTTTTTGTGGTGTGCATCTTGCCCAGATTGTCAACTGATGAACCAAACAGCCATTCTGACAGTAACTTTACTGCTTTTATTTTTAACCCCCCCCCCTATTCTTCTCAAATATTACTAACACATTTTACCCTTGGTAATATTTTCTGCAAGAAAAAGGTTTACATACAAGTGTTGACCAACAATTGTTATGTCAGGCACTTTGTTTATTTATTAAATACATAAATAGCCCCTTAATACCAGGAAAGATGGCACTACAAAAATTCTGTAATGCATTTGGAGACTTTTTTGTGTTTGGAATTGCACATCATAATTAACAATTACATTCAGAATGTCAATACAAATCCCTCGAGGTTTCTGTTAGAATTGAAAACAAAAAAACATCTGAATGAAATGGAATGGCAAAAGCTACATCAGAAGTATCGAAAGTAGACTGAAAGGGCTTAAAGTGACGTCCATATTGGCAGGACTTTAAAGACTGAGTCTTTTAAAAAGATTTGAGGATATAAAAGAGCATGGCTTAAAAAAAAAACAATATTTTAGTTTAATTGGTTATTACATTTGTTCTTTGGATTGGATTAATGCACTGTATTTAAATAGTACTGCTTTTTGTTTTTATTCACATGTTGGTCAGTATATCTGCACATGAATCTTTCAGAGAGGATACAAATGGACAAAAACTGATATTTCAATTACTCACTTTTTGCTTTTCTTTCATCTTTCAAATTGTTAACATGAGTCATTTTTCGGGACTTAACACTGACAGTTAGTCATTAAGACTTTAGAGTGAGATTATATTTAGGATCTATGACATTAGTTGAGGGTGTGAACTCAGCTATTATCTTTTAACAATGATTCATAAGTAAAACTTGAGGAACATGATACAGATCTTTTTTAAGGTACATCTATCAATAGATACTAATGAAAAGCAGAAAGCTAATGATAATGAAAACATTTTTTTAAATGCAGAAATGAGAACACGATTACACTAATATCAAGTAAACTAAGGTATACATAAAAAAATTATTTCTTACAATTTCTTACAAAAGGACAATTTAGCTAAAAAAGAAACAAGTACATACTTAAAACAAAATGTTAAATTTTCTAAGTAATTATACTTCTATATGAAAAAAAACAACAACAAAAAATACACTCTAAAACAGAGACCCCCCAAGTATATTTAGTTTAGTTTTTTCAAGTTTACAAAAAACATGACA